CGGAGGAAACACTCCCAAGTTTTCCATCCGTTCCCGATCGGTCGCTTAATTCTACGCGAACTACGCAAGATACGCGGGCCAGCTTTCCCCGGAAACACAAGCGAGTCTCTTTCATGAAGCGACTACTCTTCCAGGCGACACGTCTCTCAGGGGCAACTGGCCACAGAGGACACGCTCCCAAGTTTTCCATCCGTTCCGGGCCTCGCCGTTTACCGGCCTTCATCGGCCGAGGGTGAGGAAAGCGGCCCCGATCAGTTCCTCAATTGAACTGTCGAGCACGCGGCCTACACAACGGTGTCGAAACCTGTTGTGCTGAGACGCTCACCTTTAGAAGTCTGTGTTTCCAGCTGACCCACGTCCGTAACAAATAGGGTGGTCCTTGCTTTCGATTTTCGAACTTTCCTCGCAGTATCCCCCAGAATTGTTTCAATTAATTTCCTTTCATGATCTACGAGGTTATTAAGAACGGACTTTGCCTCAAGTCCTAAGGAGATGAAAAGGGGATTAATTTATTTTTACGGGCTTGTCAATATCTTTGAAGTTTGATAGATTATAGAACTTGTTTTCGTTAAACTCGGAATTTCAATTGAACTCTTCGCAGGAGACTATTGGTTTCACGATACACTAGAAGTTCGTTTATTCAAACTATTCGGGGGACAAGGCAATTTGGATCATCGAGGAGTTCGGATAATAGAGGCTCACTTGTATGATTGACACTGACGATGAATTCGGTTCGGATAAACGAAGTTCTGCTGTATTCTCTTCTCGTGCGAACAAAGCGATGTTTCAAGCAGGATCAATTTTGTCGGCCCGCCGCGTACAGACGAAATAATAATTACAAACGCGATGCCCGAAGTGGATGTGTCGATTGACGAACGCGATTCCGTTTTGATAGTTTCAATCGTTACTTGCCAATAGCTTCTTTCGCTTTCTGAGCGTGACCGTGAAGGGGTCGTTCTCGTTTGAGAACTCGGTGTTAGTTCGACGACATTCGCCCTACATTGGATCCCATTTCACCGGATGCGACGAAAAGGGAAACAAGTTGCGCGAAATGGAACATCTGCGACTCCCGTGAATCGAGAACTCGACGAAATCAATCCGGCTCCCGCATACCGACAGGGACAAATGATCTGTGTGCGCGGAATAAAGAAACTGCTGCTTTCGAGACGTCTTTCATCCAACTCTCTCGCTGGAATTGTGAAATTAGAATAGAAACAGACGAATGGAAGCATTACGATACACGCCTGTTCGATGTCTTTCTGCCTGGAAACCGAATAAAGCTATGGAAGAATAGCAGGCCACGATCTTTTGGCATTTCTGGGCAAAACCTTTGAGGAGAAAGCACGGAAATTCAGAAAATACGTGAGTGGCAGGGCTAAAAGGCGAAAATGCGAGACGAAATTTTTCTGTTCTTGAGCAGTGGTGAAATGTGTAACACAAATATGGATTTAAGAATAATTTTCCAAATTGACTCTCTAGATTTTGCAGGCATTGATCGACAGGAATAAATTTATTTGTAGAGGATCCATATATTTACTTAACACACTATTATAAATAATACGTATATTATAAATTAACAAGATTTTGTTTAAGAATTGTGCCTTAAATATATTCTTAAGACTTATGTGAAACAATGTACAGAAACAATAATGTCATGTTATGATCATCGATATTATCAATTTAGGACATTAAAAAACATTAGTATCATAATTATATCAGAAACATTAAAACGTGAATTAATTCAAGAGTTCCAGGGATGTTCCCGATTTAATTGCTAATTGAATGCAAATTAGGTATACATTTAGAGAAAGATCTAGCCTATTCCCGGAATAAAAAAATTTAACGGAAATTCCAAATATAAAATATGTTTTAAAGAAATATATATAATATTAAACTTACTCGATACCTTCATTGAAAAAGAAGAGTGTTTATATTTGTAATAGTAATAATTGATTACAAAAGCTAGATTTCATTATGATGATCAGTTAACACGAATAAAACTACTGATATTAAAATATTGGTGTTCTATTTACGTTTCATTACTTTCAATTAAATTACAGTTATTTGTTTTCGGAATTATCATAGTCATCAATATCATTTCCAAATGTATGTAATAAGGATATTATTTTTTAATTGACATTACTGTGTTTACTACAATTAAACAAAATAATTAGAGTAGTATCTTTATTATTATTATAATTAGAAATGGAAAAATTTGTTCTATAGTAATATTCTTTTTGTAATGATGTCCACAAAAGGTCAATCTATATATTCCATTAATTCTCTCCTATCTAGAAATCCGTTTCATAGAAAAAGAGCGATTAAAATCTATTTGTTTGTTCATCTACTATACATATAGTACTGGAGCGAATTTTTATACTCGTTTTGAGGAAAGAGGAAATTATTTTCTAGTATCAACAGGATCTAATATTTTGATTATTAATGCATGGAAAACAAACTTTTACAGATCTAATAACACTTTAGAACCTAATTTCTAGAAACACGATATTGACAAAAATAGCTTTATTCCATGCAACTCTACAATTGTTCTAGTCGCGAACGTCCTTTAGTGAGAAAGAGCAGGAGAGACGCAAAGAAACAAAATTGCACATTAAACCGAAACGTTGACGGTTACAGGAAGAAAGTCAGAGAAACGAGCCGATTGGGAGGGAACTGTTGAGTGCCAAAATTGGACAGTGCAACGTCTAGACTAGGGTCTAATACCCCAGGGTCGCTTATCCGTTTAAAGAGATACTTGGTGGTCTAAATGGACTTCGCTCGCTCGATTAGATCAACGTTCGAAACGGGCTTTAGTTGTTGTATGCTCTAACATCTTCATTCCTCGAAATATCTAATTAGGGCGAAGAAGAACTGGCTGGTACAACTGCGTTAAGCCACTCGGGAAAATTATTGCCCAGATGTAACGTATTCTCTGATATCCAATGCGGTTTTACTGATCGGATTAACCAATTTGATTAGTACAAATACCAATCCACACTGTGATACCATGCGGAATAGTAATTAAACATTTAGACATCAAATGATATGACTGATTGATACCGAAATATCTATCTTCGTTTATGGTTGTATGAACCCTTACATAAACACAATGACATACCATTGAAATTTTAACAGTTACTAGATATTATGTTAATCAAGCACTGTACAAAATTTTAGAAAATTTGCGAGCCTATTAAAGAAGTTATTACATTTTGATTTCTTATGTCGAATGACCGAATTTTATAATTTTGTCTAATTTTTAGTACATGACTGAAGGTAGCTCGATAGTATTTGCAAAACATATACAATTTTAATACAAGTTGTATTAAACAATAGTTAAAGTTTTGAACTTTCATTCATATAGGGTTTCCGTGAAAATTGTTTAAAAAAATGCATTACAAAATTCTTATTTCTAACACAAGAGCTTATAGAAACTTTTGTATAATTACCTCATGCGATTTCGTATTATATATGGTTTCAATAAAAAAATAGATGGTTATAGATTTTTTTACGGGGAATGCGATGATGTAAAGAAAAATATAGGTTTCCGTGGAAAGAACGGAATAATAATGATTAAAGGCAATGAATAATATCTTTATCACCCTACCATCGCCCCAGTCGTAAATAATAAGTTGTGTATTTTACCTTGTTTATACTTTTTTATAATATAACATTAAAATATACGAATGTGAAGATGGTAATATACATTTAATAATAAAATTTTCACTTCATATTCTTAAAAATAAAGTAAAATTCTCTAAAATAAGTCCATTGTAGGGCTCTCCCTAGATACGTTACCCAAATAACGTTAGCTACGAGCTACGTTAAGAATATTTTAAAGTTATTAGGACATGTAGACAATTGTAAATAACGTACACTCCAACAAAAAGATGCCAGAACTATGTATTAGAATATTAGAAATTGTGCGTTAAACATTCCTTGTGACTGAGAAAAACGGGTCGAATATTTTTATAAACCTTACTCCTCTGTAATTATCATTTTGTTTTTAAAAGTTCATTGCTTGAAATATTGAACGCAGCTTTTTATTACGTGTCTTACTTTTGAAAGATCTTACAGCTCATGCAACCTTAATTTTCTCCAAGAGTAATAGCAAAATACGCAATATCTTTTATGTATAGTTTGTTTAATATTGTTGTAAGGAACATAGAAAGAGAGTCAATTAACTGTAAGTATTTGGTATTTAAAATCTCAATATATTTGAATTTTCTCTTGGTTTTACTATATGTAATTCACCTAATTTTACTACTTTTACTACAATTAACAGCTTGCTTTCGGTTACTGTCATTGAATTTTACTTGCTAATAACAAGTTCAGTGTGATTTAATTTCGCTTTAAAACGGAGTCACAAAACGTCACGACTCGATCGCATTATTTCTCTCGGTTTTATGACTCTTAACTTGCCGATTTAAAATACTCTCGTTTCATTGAAGCCAGCTCGTAACGAAATTCTTAACGGCGTATAAAACCGAGTAGTAACTTGAATTTTAACGTTCTTCTGCCGCAATTACCGCACCTTTAGCGAAAAATGTAGCGTGAACAACAGCTGGTAACATACATGTGTATAATGTTTCGAGATAAACCGCGCCTCATAAACCTTCCTCGCCAGTTCAGACATACGGTATCTCCACTTGCCGGCTAATTACAAAAACGTAAAACGACCAGTTTTTATCGTTCGACGTTTTTTTCCCGAGTGTCCTCAAATATTTTTCCCAGTGCCATATTATGCTGACGAAACAAACGTGATGTAGCATTCTTTGTCCAGTTTCGATTAACTGATTTAAACTATTATTAGTTTGTGACTCTGTAGAACGTAAAAATTTCTAAACGTTTAATTACAATATTTTTTTATTAACCTTCCGTCTGTATACTGGATCGATTTCGACCCAGACCGTTTTTCATATTTCCCATACTTTTCGTTTCAACTTTCACGTAGCACGTAACATGGAATGTTTAGTTTAAATCAATTTATTAATCTAGAGATGAACAAAGAGAGTCCAAGTATTAAATAATAACGCCAAATTAAACGTGACTTCTTATATAACTCGATTATTAAGGCTTAAGAGATTATTAACGACCAACATTTATTTTTTTTACACGTTCTTCTTTATAAATGACGTGACATGTAATTATTTCGAATTTTGTCGAAGAGTACAATTGTTAACACGAAGAGAAGGATTCCTCTCGGACCAACAAGAAGAATGGATCAATCCTATCATCGATAATCGATTTCTACATTGATCCTTATATAATAACAAAAACTATTGAATGATATCCTAGGAACATCGTTAAATACTTAAAAATTTGTTGGGTCTTCCTAAAACACAAAAACTTGAAGAAAAAAATGTATAAACTTGATGATCCAGTGTGCAAATATCATTAGTGTAAATAACGTTGCAGACAGAGAGTTAATGTTAATACTACTTGACTTAAACTATTGAGAAAACTTAATAATGATGTTTTGAGGAACAGAATAAAAATATTTAATGATTTGTAATTGTATGCTGCAGGTGCGACAGGACTAAAGGATTTGAAAATCAGCGTCCCAGCCGTGGTGCGATCCGGTGACACAGTGACACTTTCCTGTCACTACGATTTAGAGGGGCTACCATTGTATACGATACAATGGTATCTCGAAGAAGCAGAATTCTATCGATACCTACCGGAGCGAGAGCCACCGTATAGCACATTCAATATCGATGGAGTACACGTAAATGTACGTATTCTATCAGAGCAAATATTAAATTTACTGAAGTAAATTCTATGTATCTTTGATGGCTTCAACTACTAAGTGTTTAATTAAATCGTTTGATACAGAAGTCCATCTTTTTTGCAAATTGATTTCTTTTTTAAATTAATTCCGTTTAATGCAGAAGTAATATAATTATCGTAAATGTACCAATTTCTGTTCAGGTCACAATTTCTACTCACTGCCTTGTTTTTCTATACTTTCAATATAAACAACAATACAAACACATAAAATGAAACGCTAGTGAGTAGAAATTGTGGGTTTCTACAGAAATTCGGATATTTATTTAATATCTTCATTTATTTCTGGGTGAATAGGAAAATAGATGAGAATCGTTCGTTTGAATAGGATCGTTAGGATTATATGTAGCAATGGTGTAAGTCATGCTTTCATACCACGCTGTATAAAGATCATGGATATCCATGAAAAGGATACTCTGAATGAGGTCGTGCCATGTTGTAAACTAGTACTGCCAACATAAAAAAATTCAGTTCAATCAATTGCGAACATTAAACAACGTGTATTCAACGCACAAAAACCTGTAACTAAAACGAAAAAAGATACATGTTCGATTTGCTCTCATACATTGTACCAGTTCACCAATCATTCTTTATATCTTTCAAAACATCGAATGTGCCAGATTCTAATAATAGTGAACCTCTGGATTTTTTAGAAGTGGGCGATGAATAAATAATATATAGTACTAATTAATTTAAATATAATATAATATATTATAATATTAATATAATAAATATAAATTTAATTAATTTACGCACCAATGTCTAATTTCAATGACTGATCCTAGAAATATGGAAGAATACCTTATTTTCATGATGTGAGTATCTATTAAGAGAGAGTTTCTCACAATTTTACCCCGAGGGTGTAGAAAGGGGTGAAATGTATTCTTATGAATTTTCGATTCTTTCTTATAATACTTGATTTATTGATTGCGATGAAAAGAAAAAGTTGAGAAATGTTATCTTTTTGTACAAAGTTTCTGTATTACATTCACTATTATTATATTATTTTCCTTTAATAACTTGTTTAGTATTGAACGAAGCAGGAAAAATTTAATACCTATATAGTTCAGCAAACATATCAGTTTCTTTACATCTAATGATAATAATTTTCATTTTGTACAAAAGTGGTGTAGGTTTGGCAATGTAAACGTTTTACAGAAAAGTTAAGTACAAAAAAGATGTAAATTAAAAGAAGAATTATATTAAATATATTTTTCGATACAAAACGGTATTATTATATTTAGAAATAATTTTTGGAAGAAGGAATAATGCAGGATAAATTGATATGGAACAGGGTTGACGAACTGGCTTCTCGTGATGTTTACGTATTACGTGGCCGTTCAACGTATCAGGTTCCCGATTAATTGGGTTTGCTAGATTTAAGTGGGTACCCCAGACATGAGATAAATATCCCAATCTCTGTTCTTGATCCAATTTCAACTCATTCACTTGTTTCAATCATAATAAACATACAAAATAAATAGAACAAAAACTGTCTTTCAAATTTTTGAACATTCTTATGCAAGATTCCATTACATAATATACAGCGTAAGTTACAACACTAACTTGTAACAAATTATTTAAACAGCGAATTGTCATACTTTTGGTGTTTCCATGGAGCTGTTCAGCTTTTCGTTAAGAAAACATGATTAAGTAATGAACATTTTAAACGACATAAACACATTTCTAATGTTAGAAAAGTTACTTACAATATTTAAATAGTGTAATTATAATAAATTTATTTTATAATAAATGAAGAGTTGAATTACTTTATAATAAATGAAGAGTTGAATTATGATACACACTTATTTTAGTAAAAAAAGGTGAATAGGTAAACTGACAGAATATATAAGTCGATATTTCGACTGGGAAAAGTAGTAATTATTAAACTATTAATTAAAATCAACTTGCAATTTTATATTATTATTTAATAATAATTGATTTGATATAAGAATTGATAGTTGCAAATAGTAATTGCTGTCAAATAGAAAGTGTCAATTTTCAATCGTATTTCGTATAAAAGTCGATAGTTTGTGATTAATTCATTTGATATAAAAATTGCCAATTATACATATATAAGAATTAGATTAGATAGAATTAGACATAATAATTGATTTGGTATAAAAACTGTCAGTCTAATATAATAATTGCTATTATCAGTTTCATGCGAACACAGCTATTATGATTTCATGCGGAAATAAGCAATTTTACTTAAATCGATTTCTAAGCAATGAAAATCGACTTTTAATCAAACCTTACCCAATTCTGAAGATTATATCTTCACGGAAATTATTGTTGCAATTATTGATAATTCTGTTATTAAGGGAGCAAATTACTTCAACCTCGACTGCGATTAACGCTTGAACTCTCTACATTCATTCGATTCTTCTAACAATTTTACCCAAACTACCATTGAAGGAATGAAAATGGACTTCAAATCTAACGTTGTCCAATTTTAAAGCTTACATTTTTTACAAAAATTATTGTTAATCTTTAATTGTTGATAACACTGTTAGTATTCCATCAAATAGATTTATTTTTAGCTTAAATCAATGCTTGAATCCCATACTTTAATTCACTTCTCCTCACAATTTTACCTAATTGGGCATTCATTTTATTAAAAAGTGATCATTAGCAACATCTACACTGGAGTGCTTAACTTACAAGTTAATATTTCGGTTAAAGAAAGTATTATGAAATAAACGTATTAATTTACAATTTTGTATTTATTCCTTAATAACATCATTACATTTTAATTCAATAATGGAATTTAAATAGAAGTTTCATATTCATTTCGTAGAATACGTACTATGCATATCAATAAAATCAAAATAATTAAATATTGCTGACGGTTGTTTATTAGTATTCTATTCAATAAAATAATTATTTGTCTTAATAGAATAACAGGCATAGATTATGAGTAGAAATACGTTGAGTCACGACTTTCTGAGTAGAAACTTAGACATGAGTAAATAGAAACAGAAACATCGTATTTTCGCCGTGAATAGAAATACGTACATTTGAGAAGTGCAATTTAAACGTTTCTATATCTGAAGACAATTGCTTGTAAATGATTTTTGTCTCATCCATTCGAAAATTACATTCCACGAATGAAAATACTTTCCACTATAAATGTTGACTTAAAAATTATTTTTCTCGTCCAGTTAAAAGTGAAATCATTCTTAGCTGAGTGGAAATTGGGACATTTACCTACGAATGTTTATATAATAGTCCTAAACATTCATTCGCTTCTATCGATAACTCGTAAAGGTAGCTCGACTGTATCGAGTACTACGATCATTCTGCACATTAGGCGAGCTTCCGCTATACTAGGATTTCATTCCACGTTTTATTCTATGTATGAAATTTGCTGTTTATTGTCAACTCAAGTCGGTAATGAGGGAGCGCAGAACCATCTAATTGACAGTGGAGTAATTGTGGCTCTCGACGGAGAAGTTCGTCATCCCTGATGTAGAGTAACATTTTACTTCGGTATTTGCCCAACTCAGTAGATAGAACCAACTTTTAGCGGAACGATATCACGAATCCGTAGAAGGGGGAACAATCCTGAGCAAGTTGGTGGTAGCCCCCGTCAAATTCCTAGCGATTCGATCGCTCGTAAAAGTATCCGCAATGTTTGAACCGAGTAACTTAACCGTCGCGTCGTTTCCGATCCCTTCATGTTCCAAATTAAACCGGCGCGTCATTCCCGAAATCGTTTCTAGGTTTCGTGCGTTCAACGCACGGGAAACTGAAAGTTCGAATAAAATTCCTGTCGCTATTTCCGACTTCGGAACTTTCGACTTCCGAAGTTCGAACTGATCCTAACAATAAGCGATACAATTTTGGGAGAATGGTGGATAATTTGAAGTTTATCGATTAACTAGTAAAAATTCGATACTGTTATTTATAAGCAACAAAAATGGTACTCGTTGAAATTTTGTTTAGATTCTCGGGATGATAAATGAACACTCGAATGTCAGATCTATTTATTATTTCTATAATTTATAAATGTGAAATATAATTAATACACTAAAACTCTGTCACGTTCGTGTCCATCAGAATAACTGAACCGAATGAGATATTTAGATTGACGTTCCTCAGGCATTTAGTACAATTTGATATTATCTGTTACGTACTATAAATTATTTGGTACGTCTATATGAAAAAAAAATTAAATTATGAAAATGGTCTGTTATTCTGACGTCAGGATATCTGGACATTTCAATTTTCCATGATTCTAGAATATACAAGGTGGTGCATTTATCCTGGCCACATGGAATATCTCAAAAACTAAAATCTTAATAAAATTGCGTGTTCTGTATAAAATACAATCTTTTAGGGTCGTAATATATCAATCGTAATAAATCTTTAAGGTGTCGTAACAAATTAGTCTTGCTCTTCGATATACTCGAAGGTTTTGCTGAATTAATACGCTTTATGATTCGTAACTTCATACGTGTCAGATTCGCGTGCGTCTTTATTACATCGTCATGCATAATTTTACTATGCCAATGCAAGCGGCTAGCGTAGCGCGAAGCAACTGCTGCCCACCTATGTATCAGCTACTTAAATTTAGAGAAAACGGGCCGTCAGCTGAGCCCTAACGGAAACTGTGGTGTTGACGGAAGTGACCACAAATAGTATATCAACTCTACTCATGGCGGCGTACCGACGCCGAAAAAGCAGAAAGCTTTATCACACACACGTGCTCTGTGAGACTGATCCGCTTCTTAAAATATTCTAATAAATTATATTCAAATGATCTTTTCCTTAAGGGTTGTCTTAAACAAATAATTAACAAACAAAATTTAAAAAGGGAGTCGTGATGGCTGTAGTGGTTGGATGTTAGACTCGAAGCTTAATGCGAATCTTTATACATTATAAGGATAACTAAAGACATCTACATTAGACTTTATTTGGAAGAATAAAATTACGATATGAAGATGAGTAAACTAATGAACGCTGCGATTCCGCGTTTCCTCGAGGAAAACAAAAGAATCGCGAGAACTCGAAGGTTTTCAATTTCTTGCTAAAATCGGGAACCTTTCAAAAACATCGCAAGATCGATACAAGTTTGAAATAGAAAAATGTAAAAAGCTTTACAAATATATTTTGTAGAAGTATGCAAAGTTTATCATTGTCAAGCCCCCAATCTACGTTTATTCGACAGGTTTCCAAATCGAATTCGTTCGACGTGACATTGGTCGACGTATCGAGGAAGCTGACGGGGATGTACAAATGTGAAGTGTCAGCAGGCAGCCCGACGTATCACACGCTAATCGAGAGGTCTAGGATGGAAGTGGTAGGTGAGTAGAGAAGTCTAGAATTGAAAACATTTTATTGGGGAAGTAATCTCTTTCGCTACTGAACTTGTGCTGCGCTCCGTAATTCAGTGCACGTGCATCTCCACTCCTACGTGCGATCCATTTTCCACTCGGATTTGCTGAAAGCTTTAGAAAGGAACGGGAATCAACATTCTGTTACTGTTTTAAGAAAATTTCCCGCCCTGCGTGTTTTTACGCTCGCTGCACCCAGCAGCACTAGGAAAGAGTTTGCTAATTGTACCGCCATTTACGTACTAAAGAGAACCTTACGATGTTTAAAGATCATAAATACATTATCAGAATTTTGTGTTTTGTTCTTAGAATAATAAAGGAAAACCTAAGGGTGCGTCTCTTTTATACCTGTTTATTACTTCTGTAATTTCTTCATCTATAGACATTCGTATATGAACAAATGCATATTAACACGCAACCTCTAATATTCGCTGTGACTATGCCGAAGCCAGAAAAGTCCAAAACTCATTCATAGATACACAGCTAGAAGGAATATCTGCTATCTTGACTCGCAGGTATACACGTGTTAAAATAAGGCTGATGACCTGTTCCTTAATCCTTCAGATAATAGATTTTCCTTTAAATGATACGAATTACGAATAATATCTGATGCTTATTTAAATTCAATTAATAAAGAAATCTTGAGACTATTATTATTGGCAGTTTACTAGATATAATGTAATACTCGTGCTTATTAAATTCGCCAACTACTTTGTCTTAGATGCACCGAAAACAGGCCCAACGATTGACATTCAGAAGGAGAGGATCTCGATGGGTGAATTGCTTCAGGCGAACTGCACCACAGGCTACTCGAGACCCGCCTCCACAATTATATGGAAGTTGAATGGGGATCTCGTAAGTAGTATATTGCCCTCACTGTCGGTCCTTACCTTGCCAATAAACGTTTTCCATCCGTAGTTATAAAACCTTACCGAATGATTAAAGTTCAATGGAGTACCACTCCTCCTCTTTTTCTCTCCCCCTCACTTTTCCTGCATCATTCCTCTTTCCGTTTCAGTTGCCTTTTAAATCTTTCTTAGAACGTCCGTGTTTATTCGCGTCACAAAAATTGGTTCAAATCTAATATGAGTATAAATAGGGAAGTGTACATATATATATATAATACGTTACTATAAAAGTGTTTAAGGATGTATTGGCTATACAGAT